TTGTTAGTGCAGACAGTTTGCGCACCACCTGTAAGTGGCGCATTAGGGCCCTTAAATAAATATCTTCAAAAATGAAGTGAATTAGTTTTCTTTCAAAACTGTCTACACTGAATCTGAAATTTCACCATTGAAGGTAGACGTTCTGTCTACTGAATACCTTACTTGAAAGCTTAGAACTTATGTTTCAGGTTATGTGGACGGACACTGAGGTCAGGAAGCTATCAATTTATCGGCTGTTGAATCACATTAATCTCTTGGACTTCGGCCAACTATTATGCCACTTCATCAGTGGATTTTTCCTTATATATCCTGAAATTATTAAACGCTCACCCTTTTTCTCAAGCGTAAGTACTGATGAAATTTATAACTTCTTCCTGCTCTTCATCACGCCCTCTGTCAGACGAAAACCGAAATGCGAGAACTTTCTCTTCATTGTACAGTACTTACTGGGACGAATAGATTAGAGGGGACCTGTATTTTCTCGCTAACGCTAATTCGGTCAGACAGGCAAAGGACTTTTGCCTCGTCCGGATCGTAGCGATCTCGCGGCGGGTCGCGCGAATTATCGCGACGATCCGGACGAGGCAAATTCCGCGGGCTTCTGCAGTGGAATTTAACACGTCAAAGCGTGTGCAGATCGCGGATAAATCCGCAAGGTGTTGCTATTCGATTTACAGTACATTTCAGCGCGTGGAGATTTGAGGAAAGCGATGATCTTAAAGGACGAATTCACGATGAAAAAGCAACCCATTTCAAATTAACCTAGGGATGGTGAGTGGTACACGAAAGAAGGAAGAACCATGAGAAACGGCCCAGAACCCGAGAAATGGGACCCCTTCCTTGCCCGTTGATTCATTGATGCGACTCTCATCGCTGTGCCCTCTTCAACACTACGCTCTCTCAGCTATCTAATCACTCGCCACGTATTGAACTACGGCGAGTGATCAGATGATCGGTGGGCGGAGATCGCCGGACCCGCCAGCTTTGAGGCATGATAGGTCGCCGAGGTCAAATTTTTCCATGCGAATTGCGCGTCAGTTCGCACCCTCAGGAGGTCCGTGGGTCCCTCAACTAGGTCAGTTTCCCTTTCTTCGACCTTCATTCTAATCGTGAATTCCTCCTTTAATCAGTTGGCAAAGATGAGAAGGAACATAGCGATAAGGGTGATAATGTCCTTGGGGGAGGGGGTTTTTGAGAAAACATTCAAGTAAATGAGCTTATTACTGTGCATGGAATCGAGCCTCAAGGAGGAGAAGGGACTCTGGGGAAGATGTGGGCAAATTGTGTTCTCACTTGCGTTCCGCGCCTCCCTCCTGGGTTTAGGGCTAGTGTCACTAGCAGTCAGCCCCTGCTTCGAATGTTTCCACTGCAAGCATGAGCGCCGCTGATCGCAAGCACATACAGGGGGGGCCAAAAAAAAACATTTTGCCTATGTCGGACTTCGGCTCTTTTTTCTTCGCAGAGATTGCTGTCGTTGACGGGAGTTCCTCAGCAGAGTATTCCCTAAGTGTCCCTCTATAAGTGAACGCAAGCTCTCCTTCACTGCCCTCACCGTCTTCAGAATATGACGTCATCTGTCACCGTCGTCAGGCTCAAGGAGGTCTACCGTAAGAGCTTCAGCCTGAAGCTCTTACGCAATTTGCGTGAATACGTTAATGTTGGATAGTTTTCTAGAGGCATTAGCTACCACTGTGCAAATCCCCTCGGAACTAGCTTTCCAGTAAGGGTCGTTATGGTACACGATCCTTCGAAGACCCCATTGAGATCGACCAGTGCACCATGTTTCCAGGGCTAATTCTTCTGATGCCGTCCACGTACGTGGCCACTATGAAGATTTTCTTATAGAATGGAATGCACTCTTTAATAATAAGTTGGAACCGTTCGGTCTGAGTTGAGTAAAATGTGCTTAAATCCATCTGGAAGTGGAGGCAAAATGTCTTTTTTTTTTGGCCCCCCTGTATGTATAATTGTGCTAATAAAGTATTACCTATTTATTACTGAGTTATTCGCTTTGATGGTAGTATAGTCCACTCATTAATGAATGCCGACTCTCTTCATCTTTGGTCCTCAAAAATTCGATATAGGATTAGACAGCTCTATGAATTTGAGCAATTTGCTATTATCTGTGAGTTTTTTCTTATATACGCACGTAAATTTCAGTTTGTTGGATCGACGGTCAACAGTTTATGGCAAGCAATGTTTCCCTACATCTGTGTGCTATCCGTAAGCCGTATTCTGATAATCAAAAAGAAAGTGGATCCCGAAAAGTCTATCCTACCTCTACTGGTGAATACTTTCGTTTGTATTATTGCGCTCGAAATAAGTCAGGGCTGGCTGTCAACTGGCTAACTACACAGATAGATAAGTTGATAGGATAAGGTAGAAAGTTATAGAAAGGTTGGCCAATGCATAAAGGGCTCAGACACCAAGGTTAACCGGCGACCTGAGCTATGTAAACCATATTGTACTGCAGGCCAAGGCTAAACACGTCAGTCTATGGAACATCAAATCCCAGTTCTAAGGTGGTACTCACCTCCGTTTCGATGGAAATCCAGGGAAAATATTTTCTCCGCCGCTCATTTCCCTTCACGCACCATCTATAGTTTTATTTCAACTGCGATCACAGCATGCACCTTGAGCGCAAATTTGATTTCTAGCTCGCGGCTTACGGTGATTGATTTCAGGCTAGTGATTGATTTCCATTTTAATTGATTTTCAGGTAGTCTTGGTGATTGGATGGACATTCAGCATTTCTGTGTGGATATGGTCATGGTTCGGCATGGCGTTCGTGTTTGGAAAAGTCGGATGGCAATACGACTACGCTATGTGGAGTTCACGTTATCTGAACGTATGCATATGCTAAAGTAATGTCAAATACGTCGGAGGCAAGAAGCTCACTCTTCCTCCACATTCGAAAGGAACTAATTGCACTTTGTTAGATTCAGACCGAACCACCCACATCCAGAAATCAAATAGCACACTCGACTACTATGAATATCTCACACATATTAGCCTCCGAACAGCATTATGAACCTCCGCAGAGTACGTTCTTTCCTTCGCAAGGAAGAGAACTGCAAGGACGCTGGTGCCCAGAGGAGGTTGATAGAGGGGATTCAGGAGGGAGTTTGAGCAAACTGCCCACAGATACGATGTTCAAGTCATTGTTGGGATAACATTCTATCGTCATGTTATGATTGTGATGAGACACTCTATCTCTTTAACAAACCTTCTGAGCTTCCACCATTTCTGTTGCTGTACTGTCAGTTGGACGGCAGAGAAGGGGTGGTTAAAGGGAGAAGGAAATTACCGTCAGCGAATTTGAGACAGTGTCACTGTTGCAATATAAGTCAGCCTAATGTGATGTCGTGATTGCGATAAGACGCCGCAAAGTAAAGGGCATTCTGCTTGTGCTCATGTCTACTGGATTACCTTCAAAACAACCCAACCAGAAGTATTGCAAACTATCTCCTTCTGTCTGTAGGATAGACACCAGAGGACAATCATCGAAGTGGCATTTTCTTGCACTGAAATCAAACAGCACGATCGCTGAGGCCTTGCAGAGTAAGATGCTGCGGCTGGAGCTTTTTTTCTGCTGTTCTGACAGCTATGTTAAACAGAAAAGAACAATTTTTTTGTTAATTTAAAGCGACTAATGTGAGCCTTTAAGCTGCTGGAATTAGCATGGTGTTGGCCTTCCATATTGGTTTCTTACCTCGTTTATGTCGCAATAATAGTGGAACTTATGACAGTAAGTTTGGCTTCTTTTGCCTTTCCTTAATTATGAATAGTGTATGCATTGTGTCTCGAAAACGAGCAAGTGCTGACGGAAGGTGCGAGCAACTGATGTGAGTTGAGAAGTCAATTAACCCTTTGACGACAATGGCACCCACCGGTGGGTGCCACTATGTTCGTCGCGTGGGACAATGGCACCCAATGGTGGGTGCCACCTTAAAATTTCCTTCTTTGTGCATTTAAAACATTTGTAACACCCCAATAATTATAAGCAAGTTCCATAATATCTATGGCTAGCACGACTTACAGAAATGTTTACTAAGAGCTAATTTATATAGAATTTTAGAATGTGCCATTTAGCTCGCCACCATATTAATTGGGGTTTTAAATTATTAGGCCGAAGATTAATTACTAATCAGGACTTCTTCGTCTTCTCATAGCCTTCAGATATGGGAAGGGGTTTGAAGTGTACCGGAAATTCTCTTGGACACTAGAACTTTTAAAGGTTTTGCCCTCCTTCTCCTTTGAAGGGTTTGTACTTTTAACTATACGCAAGCATGTTGGACTAGCGATGTTAGGAATCTTCCTAGCTATCTTACTGCAAACGGCAAAAGAACAAACTCGCCAGGGAGTTGATCCCCTGACCTCTTTTTCGTGAGCCTCGACCACAGCCCCTGCGCTTTTCTGCTTCATAATTCCTTTCAGAGAAGAGTTCAGCAGATAAGGAACACATATTTGAGCTCAGTGTCCCAAGGCGCGTAACACATATACAGTAGTGGCCAGAAATTTATGAACAAACGGTTTTTTCATGATTTCTCTTTTGAAAGTCACTGGAACGTCTCCAAATTTGCAACAATTATTAACTACGTGTTTTATGATCCACACAGAGAATTTCAACCTTCAGCTCACACAGAAAATTTCAACCTTCAGCTCAAATTTGGGTTTAGAAAATTTTAGATTTTTCGAAATTAATGAAGGCAGGTGAAAGATCACTTGATCCGTTTATTTGATTTAAATAATGTATAACCCAACAGAACAGTCAAGTAAACAGTCACTAACATTAAGCAAGTCTAGCACATTGCCCAGAACTCTCTAAAGTATTGGATACATGTAAACTGGATTTGAATGGGGATCAACTATTACTCACTCTATAGTAGGTTCTCTTGTGTCCCGAGGCTAACGTGACTCTGTTCATTGACATACGAATTTGTCGCTACGCCTAGTGTATCCGGTGAATGTTGGCTCAAAGGTCTGACGCTGGCTAGTCTTTTTGAAACACACATGAGAATGCGAAACTATCCGTGCTTGTGAAGGCGATGCTTTGAGTCGCTGCTTCTGCTGACAGACAAAGCCAGGTCGTGTGGCAGCCATGTCTACGGATACATAACATCTTCTAGAATCTAAGTCTATACTACGTATTCCTTAGTTCTCAAAGTCTAAGAAGAGCGCTCGCTGTGAAGTGGGTGGGAGTAGAATGTGATTGACTAAGCCTGAAACGAAGGTTGATACAGGTTTCTAAGGTCATCTGGAATGACAAAAACATATTACTGATGCATGACAGCAAGGATACTAGTAATGTACGGCACCACGAGAGGGAACGTTTTGATCCAAAGAATCAGCTGCCAATTGTGAAACTTGGCGGAGGCTTGATAAGGTTGCCTTGGAAAAAAGTGGGACCACGCTACACGACTGAGGTAGCGATGAAGGCAGACGTTTGCTGTCATGTTTTGGAAGGTGTCATGTATCCGTAGACGTGGCTGCCGCAGACTCAGGCTTGCGCTCTTCGGTAGAGGCAGCGACTCTAAAGCACAATGCAGGAGTGGTTTCGAACAGCATGGGGTGCTTTCAAGTTATTACAGCCTACGGATACATGACACCTTCCAAAACATGACAGCAAACGTCTGCCTTCATCGCTACCTCAGTCGTGTAGCGTGGTCCCACTTTTTTCCAAGGCAACCTTATCAAGCCTCCGCCAAGTTTCACAATTGGCAGCTGATTCTTTGGATCAAAACGTTCCCTCTCGTGGTGCCGTACATTACTAGTATCCTTGCTGTCATGCATCAGTAATATGTTTTTGTCATTCCAGATGACCTTAGAAACCTGTATCAACCTTCGTTTCAGGCTTAGTCAATCACATTCTACTCCCACCCACTTCACAGCGAGCGCTCTTCTTAGACTTTGAGAACTAAGGAATACTTAGTATAACACTCTAAATCTAGAAATATTGTCATTTCCGAAGACATGGGCTGCCAACAGCGGCATCTGTCTGTCAGCAGAATCAGCGCGCCAAAAGCTTTGGGACCTCTTAACAGGCAGAAGTGGTTTCGTACTTCGTCAATGTGGTGTTTTCCCAAGAACGAGCGTGCTAGCAGGCCGCCCAGACAGACTCTGAAGCCAAACATCACAGACCACTAAGGGAGGACCTACAAATTCGTATGTCAATGAAAGAGCCACGAAAGACGGGACTACAGAGAGAGACCCCACTAGAGAGTGAGTTCATTAGTTGACCCCGCATTCAAATCCAGTTTATGTATCCAATACTTTAGAGAGTTCTGGGCAATGTGCTAGACTTGCTTAATGTTAGTGACTGTTTACTTGACTGTTCTGTTGGGTTATACATTATTTAAATCAAATAAACGGATCAAGTGATCTTTCACCTGCCTTCATTAATTTCGAAAAATCTAAAATTTTCTAAACCCAAATTTGAGCTGAAGGTTGAAATTTTCTGTGTGGATCATAAAACACGTAGTTAATAATTGTTGCAAATTTGGAGACGTTCCAGTGACTTTCAAAAGAGAAATCATGAAAAAACCGTTTGTTCATAAATTTCTGGCCACTACTGTACATCTCATTTCAGTTGGCCGGGTCGACCAAATGACCTTTCCGGTAAGAGTGGAATGTTCAGAAGAGGTCATGTATAAGTAGGGGGTACATTTCTCCCCAGGGAAAATAAAGTTAGAGATAGTTGTCGGTTTGGTCAATTTTTGTCGGCTGGACCTCCCATTTCGCAGGCCTAAAATTTGAAAACCCTGGAACAGAGGTGGAAGAGGAACATAGCATCTTGTAGAGCAGACAATTCTCTTTCGAATGGTATATGACTGGTGTAAAAGCAAGGATTTAGATGAAAATTTTTGTTTGAAAAAAAGCGACACTACTTATGAGACAACCAGTTGGCGCCGCACGCGTTGCGCGCACAGCACAGTTCTGCGGCGATATAGGATGGTGCGGCGTGAATTTTCGAATTTGGCCCAATACACTTCGAATATTTGACTTTCAAGCTGAATTCTATCCGATTGCCCATGCTTCATCCACCGATGGCTTTTGAGCTTCCCTCCTTCCTCCACCAATTGTCCGTAATCGTCAACCAATTGTCCGTTTTTCCCGGCCTCGGACTGCCTCCGGACCGATTTATGAACCTCGTGGTAAACTCCGCCTATTTCTTTGCATGTCCCACCTATCTTTTTCTTCCTCGCCAACCTCTTCCCACTTTTGATCTCTGAACTATCTCTGAGCCGATTTATAATTTTGGCGGCGAATCCTGCTTTTTTGGTGTATCCTCCGCACACCATTAGAAATTCACTTCCTTTCCTTCGCTCACTTCTCTCCCGGTCTCCAGCACTTCCTTGCAGCTGAGTCACAAAGTTTTGTGGAGGAAATAGCAATAACAGTAGTTGGGCTCCACTCCTTCACCCACCTCTATCCACCTTTTTCCCGGTCTCCGGGACTTCTTGGAACCGAGTTATGAATTTTCGTCGCAAACTCCGCCCACTTTGGTCATGCCCCGCCCACCAATGCAGTTGGGCCTCCACTCCTTCACCCACCTCTATCCACCTTTTTCCCGGTCTCCGGGACTTCTTGGAACCGAGTTATGAATTTTCGTCGCAAACTCCGCCCACCCTACCCACCAATAGCAGTTGACCTCCCTTCCGTTGACGAACTCAATTCACTTTTTTCCCGGTCTCCAGGACTTCTTGGAACCGAGTTATGAATTTTCGTCGCAAACTCCGCCCACTTTGGTCATGCCCCGCCCACCGATGACAGCTGGCCTCCACTCCTCCACCCACCTCTATCCACCTTTTTCCGGCTCACTAAGACTTCCCCGGCTGCC